ACCAAAGTTAACATTAATTCTATCCTTGAGAGTTACACAAAACTCATAACTTCTTAAATCGACTACAGGAGCCATGTAGTTAATACATTTAGGTCTGTCCATAATGTTCACAAAATGTAAACGGAAACGGGCGCCTGGAAATATTTATTATTTACAATTTAGCAAATTACAACAGATAGCGACGCGTATATTTGTAATCACTAATTAACCAATATTTCTGCGTCAATGCGCCGGGTTCGTTTAAGATCCGGAACTAAGCGCCGTAGAATAAGCCAAGATTCAGTAAAAGTTTACTTCGACTAGAAGAGGTTTTAATCGATTTTCGCTTAGTGTTTATGATTTCCAAGGTTATTACACGAGGTCTTTTGAAACAATGTTTTCGCTTTCCTACATTTCATAGGGGAGGTACATGTTCACTAGTGGAGTAGTTGTAAAAGACTGGTAATGTCCTCCAAGACGAATAATTTTGGTCTCGGCGGCTGTTCTCAACGGTGACTGTTCTAAACGGCAACTAGCAATTTGTGCAGGACAGGATTATAAGCACGAGTGTGTCCGCAAGCACAGGTGCACTCTCTATTCTCTCACACATAGTCCGATGGGATATCAAAACAATTGAAGAGAGATCAGGTGCAGAACGAACAGGTTTACGAGCTTTTCAACGCGCTGGGGTGAAACACCGCCAACTTCTTGACTCCTGGATCACAAGAAAATACTGACTCGCGCTTACGATCACTACACCAACGAGACAGAAGACACAACTGCCACACAACTTAATTACAAACATATACGTACATTATCATTATAAATAAATAAAAAACATGCGTGAGTGTCGTGGAACACTCGTTTGGAACGAAGTTCCTTATTATTGATAAACGTATTATATATTTTTCTTATAGGATAGAGTGACAAACGAGCACACAGTCCACCTGATGGTAAGTGGTTACTGTGACCCATAGACATCTACATCTATCCTCAATAAAGACTCAAGATACAGATGCGTTGTCACCCGTGAGGACCAAGATGGAATGCCTCTTCGCCAGTAAAAAGAGTATTCGGTTCTCTACACTCACCATACGAAACACAGCAGCGTTAAGCCGCTATTTTACGCTGGTTTTCTGTGAGAGCGTGGTCCTTCCCCGGTCGAGCCGACCCATTCGTACTACAACTATACTACTAACATTTTTTTTTTTTTTTTTTTATAGGATCGGGTGACAAACGAGCACACAGTCCACCTGATGGTAAGTGGTTACTGTGACCCATAGACATCTACATCTATCCTCAATAAAGACTCAAGATGCAGATGCGTTGTCACCCGTGAGGACTAAGATGGAATGCCTCTTTGCCAGTAAAAAGGGTCTCCGGTTCTCTACACTCACCATACGAAACACAGCAGCGATAAGCTGCTATTTTACGCTGGTTTTCTGTGAGAGCGTGGTCCTTCCCCGGTCGAGCCGACCCATTCATGCTACAACCATAATATAGCTGCAGCATGGCTCTACCACGTAAAATTTTATATATTACACACACACACACACACACACCCGCGCACACACACACACACACACACACACACACACACACACACACACACACGCACACACGCACACGCACGCACACGCATGCACGCGCATCCGCACACACACACACGCACACACACGCACACGCACACACACGCACACGCACTCACACGCACGCACGCACGCGCACACACACACACACACACACACACACACACACACACACACACACACACACACACACACACACACACACACACACACACTCACGCCTGTCACCCAGAGGGGTAGGCAGAGACTACGGACTTCCATTTGGCACGATCCTGACACACCTCTCGCCTCCTTTACATCCATATATCTACGCATACACGCTCGTCGGTTAAGGGTACTCCTAATCTGGCCCATTTTTAATGTATCGCCGATTTTGTCGATAAGCCTTCGTCTAGGACGACCCTTCCCGACCCTGCCGTTATATATTAATTAACAAATACAAATAAATGTATTACTAGCGTCTATTAAAATGAAGCGTCATTTAAACTAAAATACACTATGACGCAAGGGGTAGTGACGGAAAAATCTTACACTTTTTGTCGCCTAGCTCCCATCCGCCAAACCCGTACCGTCCGATAAGGAACTTCGTTCCAATAAAATTTATACATAATAATAAAATTGAAGTGTCTGTCTGTAATGTCCCAATAACTGACTTATAAGCTCCGGGATTATCTGCGAGGTGTTAAGACATAAATAACCATTTTTTTAATTTTTGTCTGTCTGTCTGTCTGTCTGGCCTGACTAATCTTCGGAATGGCTTAACCGATTATGATAAAATTTTACGTATATCGGTGTGTGTTGGTACTTTTTCCCTTCTGACTTAATCGATCTTGATAAAAAAATTATGGGGTACTTATGGAGTTACCTGGATGGTTCTTAGATATAGTTGGACCCAATAGGTGGCGGTGTTGACGATATTCAGAACGCACCCGTGCGAAGCCGGGGCGGATCGCTAGTATAGTATATGATAAAGAAGGTATAAGTTGTCAAACGACTGACATCGGTAACAAGTTTCCAAGTGGTATTTATTTATTTAAATTTCATACAACATGATGTATAGACGGACTTAATGCTTGAGGCCATTCTCTACCAGTCAACATTAGGGTGACGAGATAAAAATATGAAGTAGGTGTGTGAAACGCTAAAAGACAAGAGTATAAATTAAAGTATATAAATATAAAACAAAATAATACATATTTGTCAAGAAAATCTGCATTCAGGTCAAAATAACACATATCACCGTATTCAATCAGGGGAAGAATTAAGGATTGCACAATTAATGCTTTGGTCCCGGATGGAAGGAAGTTTTTCAGGCGGCAAAGAGCCCGCAAGATACGGGTGACTTTCTGGCTAACATTTGGCTCTTGAGCATGCCAGCTCAAAGTGGAGTCAATGTTTAAGCCAAGATCCGTAATAGAAGAACCTAATTCCAAAACAGAACCATTGAAAATGATCGCGGGTAGAGCTGTAGTGTCTATTTTTCAATTGTGCGATGTCTACCTAGTATTAGTCAGACCAGCTCTTAACATGTTCTAGGTCCTTGTTGACCATATTCACCGAAACAGACACACAATCAACATTCGCCTGTGTTTACAACTATAGGTCATCGGCATATAGATGATATGCACACTGAAGGTTGTGGGTGATAAGATTAATAAATAGTGAAAATAACAATGGAGACAGAATACCACCTAGAGGGACACCGGCATTTATGTCACACCAGCTTGATGCAGACTCATCATTGCGGACCGACTGCTGACGTCTCTGAAGATAAGTTGAGAACCAATCCAGTGCTTCGGAAGAAATCATGGAATGGGAAAGGATAGAAAGTAGGATGTCATGACTGATGGTATTGAAGGCGTTCGAAAAGGCATCCAAAGCCAGTACAGTGACTTTGGTGTCTTCCAGTGCCCGCCCTAATGTCACCAGTGACCTAAAGAAGAGCAGAAACAGTGCTGTGACCGGGCCTGAAGCCCGACTGAAAAGGGCTTAATAAATTGTTCTTATGAACAAACAGAGATAGTTGCCTATGTACACAGGCTTCAAGTACTTTGAATAGTTAAGGAAGAATGGATATAGGTCTGAAGTGATTTCGTAAATTCGGATTGGAAGTTTTCGGCAAGGAAATAACATAGGCCATGCGCCACAGCGACAGGAAAATTCCGAAATCTAGGAAGAAGTTTATGATATGGGAAATAACTGGAAGAATATGGTCAAGGATATAAATGATCATACGGCGGCTGATGTTATCACAAACTACAGTATTTGACTTAATGGAAAGGATTATCATTTTAATTTCGTCTGAATTAACTGGAGAAAAATTAAAGGGATCGATATTTAAACAAGATATGCTATTTAAATTATTAACAGTATTGGTTTGGTTATCCAGAGGAGTATGAGAAACAAAATGACTTCTTTTTATAGGATAAGGGTGACAAACGAGCACACAGTCCACTTGATGGTAAGTGGTTGCTGCGGCCTATAGACATCTACATTTATCCTCCATTACAAATCAAAATGTCGATGCGTTGTCACCCGTGAGGACCAAGATGGAATGCCTTATTTCCAGTAAAAAAGGACGTCCGGCCACCTGCACTCACCAAGCGAAACGCAGAGGTAAATCTCTACTTCAAGCTGGTATTCTGTGAGGTCGTGGTACCACCCCGGTTCGAGCCGGCCCATCCGTGCGACAGCAAAAGCTGCCGCGTAGCTCTACCACTGTGACTGTTAATATCATCCAAATCAAGTGTCCCCTGAAACTAAAAACGAGGCTTTTTACCGATTCCAAGAGTCCCAAGGAACTTCCAAATATCGGCAGAGGAAGAGGAAATTATGTTATCAAAAATATATCGGCGTTTAGCGTTGCCTATCAGATTTTATAAAGTTGCTTGGAATCGGTGTAATCAGATGATTACACCGATTCCAAGCAACTTTATAAAGGTTCCATGTCTCATCACTCAGCTCTTTTCTAACTTGACTCTTGACTGGAGCATGTACATCATAAAGCTTGAGAATAGTGTCATTAAACGCAACGACTTTCTCATCCACAGTGGGAGCGCACGCCACTCTGCCCCATTGTAATTTAGACCACCCATTTTAATTTTTAGTTTGGTATAAGATGGAAGGGCAGCTGCAGCTGTATGAAGCAACGAAAAATATGTCTTATATTAAATTTTATAGCATACTAGCGATCTACCCCGGCTTCGCACTGGTGATATCTGGATTCTACAACAGCGTTACCTACCGGGTCCAACTATATCTATAACCTTAGCGGATTTGCAAGCAATATGTTGACAACGTTCTAGCGCAATCTGATGAACGTTATGGCATAAAATACGAACAAACAAATATAAATTTTTATATATTACGAGGGCGGATGATAAGTGACTAGCCTAATAAGAAAACACTTAACTTTCCGTGATAAAATTAATTTTATTTTTCGACATAGTCTCCGTGAACTTCTACGCACTTATTCCATCTTCGTTCTAAAGCAGTAATGCCTTTCATAAAATGATTTCTTTCGAGGCCTGCAAAATACTCCTCTACAGCGGCTATGACTTCATCATTTGTGGCAAATTTCTGTCCGCCCAAAAAAGTTTTGAACTTAGGGAACAAGTGGAAATCTGATGGCGCTAGACCAGGCGAATAAGGTGGGTGGGGCAGCAAGTCATACTTCAATTCGTTGATTTTTGTCATAACTTTAACACATGTGTGAACCCTAGCGTTGTCTTGGTGGAAGATATTTTTTTTTCGCCAAACCTGTTCGTTTTCGCTGAATACATTGATGAAGCTTATCTAGAAGATTAGCGTAGTATTCTCCATTAATTGTTTGATCTTTAGGAAGGTAATCTATCATCAAGATCCCATCTGCATCCCAAAAGACGGAAGCCATAACTTTTCCAGCCGACTTTACAGCCATGGCTTTTTTTTTGGAGCCGGGCATCCCGATTGCGTCTACTGTTTTGATTGAATTTTTGATTCTGGCGTGTAAAGATGAACCCATGTTTCATCTGTTGTTACAAGTTGACGTAATAATCGGCCTTATTACTCTGAAAACGATCCATCATTCTTTTGAGCTTTGCACCCAAATCCTTTATTGATCGTGCGTAAGCAATCGCGGCACCCAACGAGCCGATAACTTTTTCCTCACTTAGGATATGATGTACCTATTATTTTGAGATACCTGTAGGGTCAGATATTTCAGATAACTTCAATCGTCGATCTGCTAAAACCATATCATGTACTTTCACGACCATTTCCGGAGTCGTGACGCTTTTTGGACGTCCGGGGCGGGCTTCACTTGGACACATGTACGACCGCGTTTAAACTCAGCCACCCAGTTTTATACTGTGGCATAAGAAGGAGCACATTCACCCAAAACTATCTTTTACTCGTTATAGATATCTTTCCCCTTCATGCCCTTCATATGAAGAAACTTTATCATCGCTCTTTGTTCAATTTTATCCATTTTTAAAACAGTTGATGAAATATATTTTCAGCCTAATACTTCTATGTTTTCAAATGACAAAAAATCAGTAAAATTATCACGCCACCAAATTCAAATTTAGAACACAGGTGGCCAGGGATACGAACTTAAAAATGACATATATATTTTCTTAATTTTAACTTTTTAAATAGAGTGGCTAGTTACTTATCATCCCGCCTACGTAGATAGATTCACCTGGCTAATGCCCGTGCTTTATTGAAAAGCTGCGCTTAATGTGGGAGTAAAATAATTACAAGAGTAAAATATTATTTCTAAACAGTACCTTTATTTTCTGTTGTAAATGGAGTCCATTGAACGAATCGCATATTATCAGCTTCGAATTCTATAAGACTATTTTTTGGTTTAGGAAGTGCTGTAAAAGAACAGTTACTAAGAGTGAAAGTGGGTATAATTTTAATTTTATCGTACTTAAATATACAAAATGGTTATGAAACTATTTATCAAACGGATATTTAAATGTGTAGTCGCATCAGAATTCACTATCTCAAATCATTCTGTGGGTGTCATAAGAGATGAAAAAGGGAAGCTGAAACAGGAGAAAGGCAGCAGCTTCTTTCTGAGAACTACTTCATATTTAATTGCGGTTGCCAACCTGCCCGCCACGATTGAGAACTATGGCAATTTTTTTTGTAGTAGAGGGGCAAACGAGATTGCGGCTCACCTGATGGTAAGTGACTATAAAACGCTCCTATGAGGCAATCTGAAAGGGGAGGTACCGCAGTGGACTTGTGTTGGGCTGTAATTAGTGAATGAAAGAATAAATCACTGCGGGAATGCATTATAATATACAATAACTTTTTGACTCAATAAACCACCCATAGTTGAGGTTCGGAGAAAATTCAACTCCTAACAACTGAAGGCGGTCAGTCTACTCCAAGGATACATTCTGGAAAGTAGGAGCCAGGGTGAGCGGGTTCCTTTTTGAAGTGAAGAGACACCGTTGTGTTTTGGAGGCGTTGAATTTCACAAGATTGTCATCGCCTCATTCGGAGATTGCCTGTAGTGAGATTCACATGCTCAACCATAACTTCTCTTTCAGGCTGAACTGATCCCGACTGGCCCGGGCACTTGGTTGGTATCTATCCACAACTGTGAAAAGATACCAATCAATCGTCTGCATACCCATAGATACCGGGCATAAGCAGATCATTAATATGCAGCAGGAAGAGAGTTGCGGAGAGAACGGACCGCTGAGGAACAAAGGCGTAAGTCACCACATGATCGGATAAGCAGCCGTCAACGACGACCCGGAAAGACCATTCACTCAGAAAGATTTTTACTCATTTAATCAGACCAGGGGATAAGTTGTACGCTGGAAGCTTACGCAAAATTCTAGCGTGCCAAACTCTGACACAGGTTTTCAAGGTATCAAGGGAAACAGCAAGTGCTCCGTGACTGTTCTTGAGTGCCTCGCCCCATACGTGTGTAGCATTCGCTAGAAGGTCCCCAGCTGACCGATATCGGCGAAACCCGTATTGCCGGGTCACAAGTATTGCAAGGCTCGTAAGTTCATTCCGCTCTACGTATGCCATTAAGCGGGCGTTCAATATACGCTCCAGAATCTTGCAGAGTATGGAGGTAATTGAATTGGCCGATAGATGTCAGGGTCGACACGGTTACCTTTTTTAGGCACAGTCTGCACATTGGCCAGCTGCCAAGATTTGGGCACTATTCCAGTCCTGAATAAGAGTCTGAACAAGTGCGTGAACATAGGAGACAACTCAGGTGCACAGAACTTTAGAACTATAGCCGGTATACCATCAGGTCCACTATAGCTTTGTTCACGTCTAGACTTCGCGAGATTTTAAGAACCTCCTTGTTGGTGACACGGACCTCTGATATAGAGGTACTGCAGTGAGGTAATTAAGATGGTACGCTGTTGCTACTGTTCAGATGCGAATTACAAGCAAAAATAGACGCAAACAAGTCCGCTTTCTCCTTAGCCGCGTGCGCCAGTAAGCCATCTGGTTTTACCAGCGGGAGCACTGTAGACCAACAAAGGTCTGTCTCGACCGCTATAGGGAGATACCAAAAAGCTCTACTGCCAGTTGCAGCGTTATCATCATTTTGCTTCATGGTTATCATGTTCTTGAGTCGTTACTTACGTTCTTTGATTGCGTTACTCACTCGACCAAGCGCTACCTAACTTGAGCTCCTTTATTTAGGAAATTAAATCATGTTAGATGGTAAATAAAAATATTAAGATATAATATTTGTATACAGGCTGACTATATATTTATTGGTATGTCTTTGGGGAGTACTTCTTCTGTAAATATTCTCTGGCTGTGCGAGTGAGTTGTCGTTGTCACCCCTTGGTGCTTGGCACCCGGGGCGGACCGCCCCCACCGCCCCCCTTTACGCCGCCACTGCGTAGAATACTATAATTTCCCTATATATAATGTACTCTGTGACTATAATATACAATCTGTCTTACCGTCCAATTACAATGTAGGTGTTCTCAAAGTATTCATACAAGGATTTACCATCTAGGGCTACATCACCACTTAGCAAGAGGTGGGATTGTAGTGAAGAACTGGCTTATAAGTTACTAAAAATATATGGAATTTCCCTTTTTGTATGAAAACAAAGATTAATTTTACATGTATATTTAGACTATTCTCTACTATTAATAATCATATCTCTATTCTAAATATTCATGACAAACAAACTTTAAACGCTAGCAAAATGTTAAATTAAACTTACAAATATACTGATGAATTGGAACTGAAATAATGTGTTCTAAAAGGCCGATATTATTACTAAAGTCATCCCTGTCGAAGTGCGGGTGAGCAATACTCCGTTTGATCTCGGTTGCTGTAAACAAATATAAACATTTTTCAACTTTTAGTAAAATAATTATTTTGGTATTAAACCTATGTGTGCACTGAAAACGTTCATAAGTCATGTATTACTATTTGTGTACTTTTTAAAACACTCTCCATCTCTGTAGTCCACACTTCTGGGAGGCTTTTGCCTTATTATCTCTCGTTTTAGAAAACATTTCATCATCGTCGTCATCATCATTATCGTTGTAATCATCATCATCATCATCATTACAACCCTTGACTTCCCCCAAGTAAAGTAACAAAGAACAGCCCTAAACCTGCATTCGTTGACTACGTGAATGTCTTACCAGCCCAGATGTTTTTATACAACTTGCATTCCTAATGTCATAGGTAGCAGCTGGCGGCGAGGCGCCATAAACCTTTTATATAATTATTTTCATACAATTATTACATGATGCCTACAGTTTTAAGGCTAAATCTATTATTTTATAAATACCTTACCTAAATTATTAATACATATGATATTAGATAATATTTACAGATAGTTTTGCGTAGTCATTTTGTTTTATTATTTTGTGAACAGAATATTAATGGAATATATAGCCGATTTAATTGGTTGTGAATTCCATTTATGTTTTATGATTTAATATCTTAAATCATCATATTATCGATTCCTTAAGTCTATTTTCTAAAGATGATTTATGTATCTACTAGAATATTTTTAGTATGAGGTAATATTTAAGTACTAATTCTAATATATTAAGTGTTTGACATTTTACCAATCTCTTGAAAATCAATTGTCGTGTATTTTATTCTCCATTTTGGTAATAATTCGACCAAATCAGGGTCAGTGCGTATAATAACGCAATGCGCTGGTGCGATGGACCATCTTTCTCGAAGATGAATTGTACTACATATTACACGAGGAGGAGTTACGTTTAGACTAAGAACCCCTACAGGCAGGTAATCCGGAATCACAACTTCTGAAATGGAAACCGTTAAAAGATTAAGCAATATAAATTATAAATACAGCTTTTTTTATATAGGATCGGGTGACAAACGAGCACACAGTCCACCTGATGGTAAGTGGTTACTGTGACCCATAGACATCTACATCTATCCTCAATAAAGACTCAAGATGCAGATGCATTGTCACCCGTGAGGACTAAGATGGAATGCCTCTTTGCCAGTAAAAAGGGTCTCCGGTTCTCTACACTCACCATACGAAATACAGCAGCGTTAAGATGCTATTCTGTGAGAGCGTGGCCCTTCCCCGTTCAAGCCGACCCATTCGTGCTACAACCATAATATAGCTGCAGCATGGCTCTACCACGTAGAATATAGCTATAAATAAATTGTTGTTTATCTTAAAAGTAATGCATTTAACTAAAATAAAGCTTATGACGATTTACATATTAAACCTCAATTCTGTTTTGAAATAGGAGAACTTATTTAAATCTGCATCCGACCAAAAACATAAATGTGAAAATGGGATAAAGTTCTCTACTAACAATATTCCGAGTAGTGGGCTCCGTCGATAAAAGAGTTAAGTTCTGAATGAATGCCGGGCTCCATAGCAGTTGCTTAAGTTATAAGCTCTATAGAAATGTACAACGCGTTCTTGGAACAGCTGAACTTGGCTCCCTTTTCAGTTTTTTAGTGGAACATCCCTAACTTTTTGATAAAAGTTTTATTACTTTATTTATCTAA